CGATGAATGCAATCAAATCTTTGTATTGGAATTTATAGAACTAGAGCGCCGTCAAAGTCTTAGGAAGCTACATTGATGTTGTTGCTTCTGGAGGTGTATTGTTTAATTCTTGCTTCATTGCGTCGTACTCAAGACTTGCGTTATAGTGCCGTCCTGCTTCTGCGTATTGATGCGCTCGGCTGGGGTTGTCGAAACGGTCGTCATTATTTTCTCAAATTGATTTTGTGTTGCTTGACAAATCGTTTGTAACGCTTCGACTTTATCATTCTCTGTTTTACTGTCATTTTTGACCATTTCCATTGTGACAAAGTACAGTTTTGTATTAGTTGGGTCGTCCCATCGGTCAATAATGATTATGTTTTGCTGACCAGAACTCAAGAAATGGACAAAGACAACCAAAGGATCCAATTTCTTGGTATCGTGATTGTCAATAAAAGGATCGATACTCTTTTTGGTCAGCATGAAGCAACTAGTTGCGAAGTGGCAGCAAGGTGTTTCTAAGAGGTTAGACTTGTTTTGGACAGGTTTGAAGAGGTCTCTCAGAGTTTTGGGCTTTGTTTTCGAGGTACAGACGAGGAATAAAATTGATAAAATGTGGAAACGCTTATACACATTCAGGCAGTACTGGACGGCTCGACACATAAACTCGCGTGTCACTGTTTGTTGTATTTCTGCTACTACAGGAGGTAAGTCTACAAGATCTGATGAATGAGGTATATAAAGAGCTTCACACTCTGTGCCATCGATAAACATATTGTCGCCAGCCTTATAAGTGCCTGAAGGAACTCTCAGAAGCGAAGTGGTGATCAGATCAATAATAAACTGATTCTGGGCTACGATTTTGCTAATTCAATCTGTACCTGGTATGTAACCGCGTGGTAACCTGTATTGTATTAACTCTTCTGGTACTATATATATATAAGGCATTGTTAAAAAGTTTCAACTTGTCGGTTTCTATATAACCTTACTTGTTCTCATGGCACTTTGGTCTTCAAAAAAAAAAAAGGTAAATACTGTTGAAATGTGATGTAAGTGCTTTTTCTTTTTGAAAGAGAGAAAAGAATATTATTTCTTTTTTAGAAAACACTTTTTACTAATATTTTAGTCTTCCCGCTTATATAGAACCATATATATTGTATCCTTTTATATGCTTTTATATGCTTTTTGAAATGTATCATGGTATATATATACATGTATCAAAGGTAATTACTCCTTTTTACTTGCATCGTTTATTTTGGTTTTTAGACTTGAAGGAAGTGTAGTGTCTGCTTTATGCTTGTTTGTGTCACCAAAGTAAAAATATTTGTTTACATCATGTCATCTTTTCCTCATCACTAAACTGATAAGTCTATGATCTATTCACTTAGAAAGAGAAAAAAGCAATCAATATGAGTTTTGTAGTGAACAAAAAAAAGCGACGAATTTTCAGGGTCTATTTTCAGGGAAAAGCAAGCCACTGTCCTACGGATTTAAAATGTGGTAAGCGTATGCATAATGCACGGATCAACTGAGATACTTTTTGTGCTCAAGGTAAAAAATAAAATAAAATAAAATAAAATAAAATAAAATAAAATAAAATAAAATAAAAGACGATAGTTAGTTCATCTTTAGGCACCAGTAATCAGTACTTTCAGTTTGTGTGCAAAATAGCTTTCTTTCTTTTTCTTTCTTTCTTTTTCTTTCTTTCTTTTTTAGACAGCTAAACTTTTCTTTGCTCTTTTGGTTATTGACATTTTCATATGAATAAGAAAGTTTGTTATTGTTTCAGGATGATCTTCTCATGGAAAGAAAAAAAGGAAACTGGGAATGATTACAATTCAAAGTCCTCTATTACGAAATACATTCCGCATTGATTTATATGATAAGTAAACTTCCCTTATCTTCAAGGGCAAAGAATAATGAATTACTCAATAGAAACACAGAGGATAAGTAAATAGCAAAAGAGAAAGAAAATAAGCAAAAGGGGATGCTTTTCTGTTTATAGAACTGACAAGTAGGGTGTTCATCGCATGTTTTATGCAAGTAAATAAGTTTATATGTAACACAAGGTTGGGCGTCCTCTCTATGAAATGATCTCTATCAAAAGAAAACAAAAAACCAAGGAAAGGAAGGGCAAGGAAAGGAAAAGAAAAAAAATTACTTATGAAAAGGCACGCAGCACTCTTTTTTATTTCTTTATCTTTTCTTTCTGTTTCTTTACTTTCTCTACTCTGGTCTCTTATGGTCTCTTATGGTCTCTTATGATCTCTTATGATCTCTTATGGTCTCTCTTTTTGGTTTGTGCCTTAACTATTTCAAGAACGCGTCTACTTTCTCTAAGATTTTCTCTTTACTTGGTTGGTTTTATCTGCTTGGTTCTATCTGCTTGGTTCTCTCTCTTTGTCTCTCTACTTTGGTTACAAGTAGCTATGTATTGAGGATATACTAGTTATCTGTAGTCTAACAATGCACTGGTGAAGGCTAGTGTAGTTGTTTCTTGTTGTCTCTTTCTGTGGTTCGTTTTCTGGTAAGTACCTTATTTATTTCAAGAACGCGTTTACTGACATCTCTGTCTTTTCTAGGATTTTCTCTTTGGTTGGTTTTTTGAGTCTTTCTATTTTCATTTTGAGCGTCTGTGTGTTATCTGTAGTCTAACAATGTGATGGGATGAGATGGAATTGGCGTAGTTTTTTCGTGTTCTCTCTTTTTGTAGATCGTTTTTTGGTAAGTACTCCATCTATTTCAAAAACGCGTTTGCTGACATCTCTGCTTTCTCTAGGCTTTCCTTTCTATTTGGTTGGTTCTGTCTACTGGTGTGTCTCTCTCCGTGGCTTTCAGTGTTCGATCCTGATCGTTGTTGGCCTGTTATAGCCGATGATTTACTTTCTTATCTTACTGCCCCGAGAGTAAGGTACGGGGTATATAGGCGTTGGTCTGCAGCGGGAAGAAGGATAGTTGCTGGGAGTTGTTGGGATCCTTCTTTAATGATCTGGCATTCCCCAGTGTATCGCGGGCCTGGGAAGGTGTCAGTGAAGGAAGTGAGGGAGTACGAGTCAGTTGCCTTCTCGTGGCTACTCCTGTGAGTAACTTCTCTATGAAGTGAAACTAAAGACTGACATTATTTAATAAAGATTCGCTTTTAACAATAAATAATGACGTATACTTTTTTTTTACTGTAATGATGTTTTCTTGAAGACTAGCTGCTTTTACTTTTGTCTTTGAAAGTTTAAGGGCTTGCTTAAAGCAACGATTTACTTTTGTTTCTTTTTTACATTCTTTTTCAAAGTAAGTTCATGTTGCTTTTTTGATTTCTATATATCTTTCAATAGTGTAATTGTGTTGGTTTAATGTTGTTCAGACATAAAGCCACACTGAAACTTGTGTCATCAAAAGCAACGCGCAATAACTTGTGTTTATTGACTAGTCTACTCAAACTGGTTTTTTAGTTATCTAAAAGGTCGTCTAACAAGATGTACTGCTGGTTCAAGACTATTTCTCTCCCTGGTTCTACTCTGATTTGGTCGGTAAGCTCTATGATAAACAAGGTGTGTTCTACTCAGGCTGGTTTCTCAAGTGTCTGTAAGGCGTTTGATCAAGTGGTATAGGGCTTTCAAACCCTTTTCTTCAGACTCTGGCTCTCTTTAGGGTTTGGAAGATATACATTCAAGGCTTAGTAAGTTTTCGTAGTGTAAGTCTACTTTTTTGAGTCTTTTTGTGTCTATTCGAGAGTCTGATCAATTCTTGTTCAGACAAAAAGAGGATCTGAAAAGGCTTGATTACCCTGATCAAACCCATCATGTGTTTGTGTTGTGCATATCCTTTTTCTTTGTTGTCGTATTTGTGTAATAAGAGCTATGCGTATATTCCACTTACATCAACGGCTTTGTCCACTCAAGTATGTTGCCTTGTTGTCTTTCGTCTTTAGTATGAGGTGATCAGGACTCATTTCACTTGCGAAACTACAGTGATGTTGTCTTCCATATGCCATAACACTACGCTCTGATTTTGTCTAACTGGTGTTTAGTCTTCCTCTTAACTCGATCGAAACGCAGTTGCGGTTTGTGAGTGTCAGTAAAAAGAAAAAAAAAAGGTCTTTAAGCAGAGTGCAAGAGACCAATGTTTGAAATACTGAACCTCCCACTTGCATGATATGCACCATTTGCCATACTCAATAGTTACTCTTTTTGACCTCAGAAATGTCATGTATAATAGCAAAACTTACTCTCAAACGCTCTGTAAATCGAATGTTATATGAATTAGTACCTATTTATTAGTCAAAATTTATTGAAAAGGGGCTTCTTTTGTACTGATTACAGTGTGCAATCAACTTTGAATGCAGATCTGAGGGGAGCACTCAAATCAACTCGTCTTTATCATCTTAGTAAACTCTTTTTTCTATCAGAAGTACCTAGACCTAACTCACCTTATTTCGGTTGGATCAGTCCTACATTAGGTCATTCCAAAAATTCTTGTTTTTTTTTCCATCTTCACGAACCTCTGTGGATCCTCCTGTAGTGATCTGAGCACTTTTCAATACAAAATATAATAAATAGTCTTTCATAGTATAAATGAATAATAACTTATAGCACTATACATCATAGATATAAAGCAAGCATTGTATAATGACAGTAAATAACGATAACTGGGATAATATGGATATTTACAAATAAGGAAACCGTAATTGTACCTTTTAGATAACCAGGAGAGTTAAAGGAGAATCTACATAGTCAACTCCCAGCACAAGCTGTCAAAGTATTAAGTAATCAATGATCAATAATCAATAATCATAGTCAAGTTAGCAATAAATCAGGTAGTATAAAGACAACCTGGAAAAGATATATTTTAGAGGATTATCATTATTTTTGTAATAAAGAATACTGAACAGTCTCACTGTATTCTTTGTTTTCTTTTCTGTTTTCTATATTTCTTTTCACAACCTAAACACCACAACTGATATAGGCTAACCTAGAGTCACACAGGGTGACACAGGCTGACACAGGCTGACATAGACTGATATAGGCTGATGTTGTGAACATATATGAATTCGTATGCGTAGATCAATAAATGATGATCATGGCAAAAGACCAGATCACATCTATGGCAATTGCAATGGATCTATAGTCACTGACATTCACTCATTCTACTAGAAGTACCACATCGTCTTCATAGTCAGAGATTATGAACCTAGTGACTCTGTTATTATCAATGGCCTCATAAAGTGACAGTTAGAGCTGACAAATACATTGGTATTGGCATTTGACAAATATGTATAGTTTATTCAAGTTCAGGTCAGATCATGTACTATTGGCTGAGCTGACAACTTCCTCTAAAGGCATTTCTCTTAATTGCTCCTGATCTAACAAATCAATCCGTAGTCAAGAAGCTAACCCAAAACAATATTTTGACCGAGAAGAAAAAGTATAAATACCTCGACATTTTATAGCAATTGAAAAGATAACATTTCTTTGGGAAATAAAAGCCTATACAAGTTCTAACGGACTTTCTCTGTGTTCTTACCTTTTCTCTTATTCTATATCTATTCTCTCTTGATCTCATAACAGTTGCTTTGTTCTATTTTAAACCAGGCTCACAGGTCAACTACACCCTTCCTTTGCATAAATTTTAGCAAACTCGAATTAAGCAAGCGACAGCTGAAAATCATTTTTGAAAAGCAACTGCTGCAATTCGATATTCTTATTGAATGCTCTTGATGATCAATTTTTTGGCTAGGTTCACTCTTGCAGCAGAATAATTACGACAGCCATAGTAGCATAGTAGCCATGTAGCCATGGTAACCATGGTAACCATACACCACAGCGTGAGCAACTGCATTTTTCTTCCATCGCTTACGCTGTAGTGGCAACTCTATAAAAAAGTTACCAGAGCGATAGAGAGAATTATAGAAAGACTTTTATACCTCAGGCCTTCGTGGTCAGTGTGATGGACTTACCTAAAAAAAGAAAAAAAAGGCATTTTCAAACATCATAAAAATATTGACAGTTATGCCGAAATTACAAGTATGCCATTTGCGTACTCAAAAAAATATTTTTGAAAAACAATAAAAACCTCTATTTTAGAATTAAAACCACTATTGTAAAATAAATCAAAAATATTTTCTGCAATGACAAAAATAAAAAAGTAAAAGATTTCATATTTTCTGCTTAAAATTTTGAAAAAAGCTTGTTTTTCAATTTTTCTGTTTCAAAATAAAAAACAAGTCTACCGACCATTAATCTCTCTTTTAAACTAAAACAGTAAAGCCATCATCCGGTAGACTCGTTTATTTATTTAAGGCAGAAAAATTGAAAAGTTGGCTTTTTTTCTAATTTTAAGCAGAAAATATGAAACCTTCTGCTTTTTTATTTTTCTATCATTACAAAAAATGTTTTTGTTTTGTTTTTATTTTTTTAAGTACATAAGTGGCATACTTGTAAGTCGGTATGAATGTTAACGGAGTTTGAAATACATGTGTATTTTCTTGCATTCATGAGAAGTTCCTGACATCCACGGCTATTACCGTGATCTTTTATGGCTCTACCTCTGCTTCCTGTAGACATACCGAAAATTATAGTGATTCTTAATTTTCCGTATTTTTGATCTGTGCTGGTGTTGACCATACACGCCTCACTATTGACGAGCCGTACAAATAGTCCCAATTCATGAGAAGGGCAACTCGACTGACCCAGTCAGCTACTGACTAATTAGTCTGACTACTATCTCCGGAAAAAACAATCGAAAAATGCATCAAAGAACTTCTCCAAGGCCAAGTATCGTCCTTAGACACTGCCCAAGGTGGCTTTAGAGAACGCAAAAGTGTCCTTGACCAAGCTCTTTGTCTTTCAGAAATTCGTAAGTTGTTTTTTTTTCACAACAATACTCAAGAACATTAGCTCTGTACTTTATTGGAGTACCAGATGGACCTCTATACATTTGCTTCTATCCAAATCACCTCTATGTAACATGCTACCACAAACAATCTATTTCTTCCAACATCCAACCAAATGTTTCTATTTCTTCTCTGGTTACAAATTCACGCCCAGACACACATTAGATCAACGCTCTTCTCTCCATTCCTTTTTTGCCCCTATTCTCTAAGGCGTGTTTTTTTTAGCTTAGTAAAGCCATTCATTTTTATAAATTGATCGAGTCCGAACAGTCGAAGGCCACATTGGGCTATGTACCAAAAGAATCTTTTCTATACAATTAATACATTAACAAATTTCAAGTATAAAATCGACAAAATCAATATCAATGCGCAAGTATGCTATCTGTATCAACAGGGAAACATTTCTGAAAAACTATTACTTCTAGGCTAAAAAATACAATCTCATCACAGTGTAAGCAATTGCATTTTTCTTCCATATTTGAGTGAAGAATTCTTATACTTTTGATGAAATTTTCTTCTATCGCTTACGCTGTAGTGTCTTTGATTTTAAAAGAATTAGATCAAATAAATAAAAAATGAAGAAAATGAATATAAATTTTTATATCTTGATAAAAATTGTTTTTTATGTCCATTACGCTAAGGAGAAGAATTAACATATACATTTTTTTCTATCATTTTGTTATTCCTTGCTACTCCTTGCCATTAAATGGCTCTTAATAATGGGTAACGGGCCTTGAGTGACTTCTAGTCCTAAAACTTTGTATTCAAGATAGTTTTGTTCTGATACTGAATATGCTATACATATTAGATTTGCATCTTCATAGTCTATCAGATGTCGTGGTTGTGAATCTTGTAGATATACATATATATATTCAATAAATTTGATAGTCAATGAAGTAATTTAGTAACAAGAGAAAATACTCTGAGTTAGATGCATACATGTACATTGATAATCGACGTTTTTCTCAAGGCAACATACTATTGATTTTATTAAAGCATGCAAATGACAATATAACTTTTGAGTTGGGTGTATCATTTACTACAGGAAAGTC